AACGGGATACAAACGGTAATGTGAAGAGGTATAAGGCACGTCTTGTAGCTAAAGGCTTTACTCAAAAGGAAGACATTGATTATACAGAGATTTTCTCTCCGGTTTCATCGAAAGACTCATTCAGAACAATCATGACATTTGTTGCTCATTATGATCTTGAGTTACATCAGATGAATATTAAGACTGCATTTCTTGACGACATTGATGAGATGATTTATATGGTGTAACTAGAAAACTTTGAGTCAGGAGACCCAAAGAATATGATTTGTAAATTAAGGAAATCCATCTATGGACTCAAACAAGTTCTTCGTCAATGGTATTACAAGTTTCAACAAATAATTATCTCGTTCGGTTTTGAGATGAATATTATTGATGACTGTGTATATCACAAGTTCAGTGGAAGTAAGCTTATTTTTCTGGTTCTGTATGTTGATGGCATATTGCTTGCCACTAATGATATAGGCATGTTGCACGAAATCAAGAGATTTCTATCAAAGAATTTTGAGATGAAAGATCTTGGGGACGTCTCTTTTATATTAGGAATCTAGATACATCGAGATCGTTCTCAAGGTATACTTGGATTATCACAAAAGAGCTATATCGATAAAGTACTTAAAAGGTTTGGCATGCAAGACTACAGACCAGGAGACACCCATGTTGCTAAAGGAGACAAGTTCAGTTTCAATCAGTGTCCTAAAGACAACCTTAAAATTCAGGAAATACAGAAGATTCTTTATGCTCCGGCTGTAGGAAGTTTAATGTATGCTTAGGTATGTACGCATCCGGATATTGCGTATATTATTGGGATGTTAGGAAGATACTTAAGCAGCCCTGGTATGGATCATTGGATAGCAGTCAAAAGGGTTATGAGGTATCTCCAGAAAATAAAAGATTATATGCTCACATACAGAAAATCAGAACAGTTAGAGGTCATTGGGTATTCGGACTCTGATTTTGCTGGATGCTAAGATAGCAGAAAATCTATATCAGGCTATATTTATATATTAGCAGGAGGAGCTATATCATGGAAAAATGTTAAACAGACACTCGTAGCTTCCTCCACTATGACAGCAGAATTTATAGCTTGCTATGAGGAATCCAATCAGGAAATATGGTAGCAAAATTTTATCACGGGACTGCGCATTCTAGAAAATATGGAAATACCACTAAGGTTATATTGTGATAATAAATCTACAGTAATGTATTCTAATAACAACATGAGCTCAACTAAATCAAAACATATTGATATTAAGTTCCTAGTTGTGAAAGAAAGGGTACAGAGTGGACAGATATCCATAGAGCACAATGGGACAAACTTCATGATAGCTGATCCTCTTAATAAAGGATTACCACTTAAGGTCTTTCATGAGCATACTGCTCATATGAGTGTGATATTATTTGAGGATATCATGATTTAGTGGGAGTTTGTAATTATGGTGTTTTATGTTAAGTTGTATTGTCTGATCAGAATAAAGTTTTTCAGTTCATACACTCTGGTACATAATGTTGAGGTTGACCTCACTAAAGTTTAAAGTAGGACCAGTTAAAAATAGACATGTACTGATCACATTGCATGTAATTTTTATGCTGCACATCTATGATTGATCTATGTCGTTTGATTATATTGGTATATGTGACCATTGATGAGTCGAGTCACGATAAATGTGACGAAGACTGCTTTGATCCTATATTGATATTGTCAATGGACGAGATTGTTCAGAAGTACCCTTATCTATGATAGCAAATTTTTGAGTTCATAAAGTTATCCACACTTTAAGGAAACATATGATGCCCAAGTGGGAGATTGTTGGATTTAAATCTAATTAAATCTATTTGTGGACACATATGTTATATCAGTGTGTTTTGCTATCTTTCAGTTGACACGCATAAAGTGATCAATCAGGTAATTAGGTCAATGGGTATTTAAATATGTCATGGGCTAAATGTGCAGATACCAGGTTGTAATTATAATTTGATGATGGACCAAATTATAAAAGTACAACAACTATAAATAAGGGATTATGGTAGGGATGGCAAAATGAACCCAAAACCAATTGCCCACCCATACCCACCCGCCAAATGAACCATCCAAACCCACCCATTTAGTTAAATGGGCCATAAATGAGTGGGTATAGTTTCTATTAAAGATAAATGGGTCATTAATGGGTGGGTTATTACCCACCCATTTACCCGTTTAGATGGATATTGTTTTAAAAACACCCTCAAGGCTTAAACAATTACAAATTTTTTTTTCAAAAGTTAAAAATTATAGAAAACACTTAAAATGACTAACAACCCCTTAAAATTTTAAGATTTGCAAAAAACACCCTCAAAGTTTAAAATATTATAAAAACGCCCTCAAGAGTTAAAAATTATAAAAAAAACTATCAAAATTTTCTAACCTCACAGATGACACATGAAATTCAAAAATTACCAACAGCCCCCTGAAATTTTATAATTTGCTAAAACACCCTTAAAAGTTGTAGAAAATGAGAAAAACACTCTCAAGACTTTAAAATTACTAAACAATCTTAGAGTTTTCTAAACTTGCAAATGACATATGAAATCTAAAAAATTTCAATAGTCACCTATAAATTTAAAATTTACAATTAACACCCTCAAAGTTTTAAATTTTTAGAAAAACACCCTGCATAGTTTAGAATTACAAAACCATCCTGAAATTTCAAAACCTACAAATGACACATGAAATCCAAAAATTGCTAGCAACCCCCTGTAAATTTATAATTTACAAAAAGCACCCTCAAAGTTTAAAAATTGCAAAAAACACCCTCAAGAATTCAAAACTACAAAACAATCTTAGAATTTTCTAAAGTTGCAAATGACACATGAAATCTAAAAAATTTCGGTAGTCCCCTATAAATATCAAATTTGCAAGTAACACCCTCAAACTTTTAAAAATTACAAAAAACACCCTCAATGATATATAAATATAAAAAGTAAGCGCTCATAATTCTTCGTCGGCAGGAGATATATGCGTATACGGCCAAGTGTAATTTGTCACATGACCAAAGTAAGGGCTTTTTGTAAATAACCGAGCAGGTAGTAAACTAGACTTGTTACGAGTCCATCTCTTCTTTTGCTCAGCCCCGTCATCATTTGCTTCTTTTCCTCACAATTCTGTCCTAATTTTCTGAAGTAGTCGATTCAATTGAGAAAGAAATATTTATAGAAAACCCCCCTGAAAGTTTGTAGAAAATCTCCTAAAAGTTTGCAGAAAACCCCCTAAAAGTTTGCAAAAAAACCCCCTAAAAGTTTGCAAAAAACCCCCTAAAGTTTTGCAAAAAACCCCTGAAAGTTTGCAAAAAACCCCCTGAAAGTTTGTAAAAAACCCACTGAAAGTTTGCAAAAAACCCCCTAAAAGTTTGCAAAAAACCCCTGAAAGTTTACAGAAAACCCCCTAAAAGTTTGCAGAAAACCCCCTGAAAGTTTGCAGAAAACCCCCTAAAAGTTTGCAGAAAACCCCCTAAAAGTTTGCAAAAAATCCCCTGAAAGTTTGCAGAAAACCCCCTGAAAGTTTGCAGAAAACCCCCTGAAAGTTTGCAGAAAACCCCCTGAAAGTTTGCAGAAAACCACCTGAAAGTTTGCAGAAAACCCCCTGAAAGTTTGCAGAAAACCCCCTGAAAGTTTACAAAAAACCCCTAAAAGTTTATAGAAAACCCCCTGAAAGTTTGCAGAAAACCCCCCTGAAAGTTTGCCAAAAACCCCTAAAAGTTTGCAAGTAGATCTTTGAAACTTACATATATATAGAAACATCATAATCATAACTAAATGGGTTATTGGGTTACCCATGAACCACCCATTTAGTAAATGGGTGGATGAGAACCAACCCATTTAGCAAGTGCTAAATGGGTCATAAATGGTTAAGTGGTCATAAATATGCCCACCCATTTATGACCCAACCAAAACCCAACCAAAACCATCCATTTGTCATCCCTAGATTATGGTCTCTAATCTAGGGTTACATTCTTTATTCTCTTAATCCCCATCTAAAGAGATTCTAAAGGAGAGACCCTCAATATTAAAAGATCAAACCCTAATTTAGATCCGTGCAAATCCAAATAATAGATTCAGGTATAAGCTTCCGCTCTCATTGTTGTTGCTTATTCTCTTTGAATTAATCATGGTTTTATGGATTAGATCTCAGATATTCAGATCTAACACAAAGTGCTTTAGTTTATGCAATTTTTTTCAACTATGGTACTGTGGGCTTAGAATAATGGCACAAAAAGAACAAATAATTTCATGTCCATTAGTTAAATCTGATGTTTATGGTGTACATTGCTAAATGATTCGGAATAAAGAAGAATTATATAAAGGACAAGGAAGAAAAATATATAAACAAAAGAACAATTATATTATTTCTAAAAAATTAAGCATATATCTGGTTGAACTCCTATTCTGAGATGTTCCTCCCCTAAGTTAACACCCATATATATTGTTCACAACATGTGATTTTTTTGTGAGCAAGTTATTATGCTGCACGTTAACCTTTTTAGAATTTATAGCAATTATATAGTTCAATGTGCTTATTGTTACTCTTTGGCAAAAAAAAAAAAATGTTCTACCTTGATCTTGAGCCTAAGACCTGTCTATAGCCATGTTGGCTTAATCTAGATGGAAAAGCAAGGAAGTTAAATGTGCATCTTAGGAATGTTGGTGTTACCTGAGAATGACAGTCTCATTGTGTTGCAACTTCTTTCCTAGCGTAGATTTTGCAAAATTATCGTAAATTATTAAGGGTCTTGTAAAGATAGATAGATGTTCATATTCAGAGCATAACAAACAAAATATACAACTTTTTGGATCCTATCTTAATGAAAACAATTATGTCATTCTCTAAATTACAAAATCGAACTGTACAGTTGTTAAAAAGAAAACAATTTTAAGATTATTATATCAATCACCAAGTTATTTCAATTCTTGGAAATAATAAGCCAGATGATAAATAGCACATTGGTCTCAGAAGATCACAAACACAACATAAAAATTAACAGGACCAATTTTACAAGTGAAAGGTATTGTAATAAGCCGCATAATCATATATCTCAATTCCAATTCAACTTCATCTAAATAAATAAGTTAGAAGTGATGCCACATCAAAACACTTATTCGTTCACCTAAAACAAACTTAGACTTGAATTGTAGGACACTATTATAATCATTCACCAACTTCAAATAAGGTTACCTTTCTGAAGCCGAAGGCAATGCGTGAAGTATCCTCCAGTATGAAGTCCTATACATCAAACCAGCAAAGGATGAAAGAGTCTGGACTCTACTTAACTATGAGTCTTGCACAATTGATGGTCCACCCTCAAATTCCACGAATTCTAATGTAAGCCTCAATCACCTCAGGGACTTGATCCATATACTTGGCCACATACTCATTACAGAACTTGCTCTCAGTCGTTGACAAATCTCGATTGTTCACACATGGATATCTCCTTATCAAACTCTTCGATGATAACAATGCTAAGAACACAACACCACCGGAGGTTCCTCTTCTCCAAACTAAGTCCAAGAAACTCAGGGTTTGCGACCAGAAAACACGACTCCCAGCGAAGTCTCTTGACATAGAAATCTATCATCTGCCTGATCTTCTTATCTGGCAGAAACATGCAAACTGTTTTGCTTGGTGAAGGCTGAGATGATCTCTCCTTCTGACCATCCCGAACTCTTGTACATGTCTGACTTACTCTCCCATGTCAAGGGGGTGGTTGCTGACACCACGTAAACTGCTCGAAGAAAGAGGCACGTTAACGGGTCGAACCCCGAGTTTCTTAACGGATTCAACTGCTGTAGCGAACTTCTTGGTTATCATTTGTTAGAAAAAGGGTGACTAACTTGGCACTTTTTGAACGAGGGACGCCATAAGCTTGTAGGATGCAAACATTGGGCAAGAAATTGATCTCAAGATTGATCGTAAGCAAAAAGAGGGTTACAGTGTAAAGCAACAACTAACCTCTTGTCATTGCTAGTCATAGAGCTGAGCACCTCAAAATTGGGCTTGAGTTCGTTTCGTGCGCTTGTCCTGAGTAAAATTGGGTGCGACCAAGCTAGGCCTGCAAATTCACCAAACTGACATCAACAAAAAAAATCGATCTTTGGGTGTTCTCAACACTGGATTGGAGAACCCTTGGGCTCTTGGTGATGAGTTTTGTCATCTGGGTATTTGTGAAACCGTTTGATTTGAGGAGATTTTAGGACTGAGTCAGCATCCTCAATGGTTTTGAGTTGGAATTTTCGGCAGCAGAGAGGGCGGATTGAGGAGAGAGGCCATATGAGTTTATGAGGTAAGAGATTGTTACTGAAGAATTAGATTGATCCGTGATGGGTTCTTCTAGTGTTTTTGAGATGAATCTGAGATGGGCTGCTGATGGGTTTGATCCTTGAAGAAGAGCGCGTAGGAGTTTCTGATTCTATGAAGCAAACTAAGCATAATCGTCGCAGTAGAAAAAAAATTCGCAATGAAGAGAAATTAGAGGAGCTTACAAAGCATTGAGGTCGCTGAGACTGAGAAGAGGAGCATCAGTTGAAGGAGAAGCAACGTCTACGGCACCTGGCTTTTGGAGCTAAGGGAGGGTTTTTTTTTGAGAGGCCACATTCATTTTATTTCTTCCAGCTTACTCCCACTTTGGTACCAAAAAGTTTACCTTCATTTTCACTTTGATACCCTAAAGTATTGTTTTAACACTTCGATACCTCAAACTTTGAATCCAACGTTTCACTTTGATACATGGAAGTACATTTCAACATTCTGATACTTCGAGGTTTCAAATTTCCCTTCACTTTTGATACCTAGTCTTAGATTTTCTGTTAAAGTTTGCGTCGTGTCTTTAGCATGTGATACATTTAGATTTACTTTACCCCATTGCTAAGCACAACTTAAAATTTAAAAGAAAATATAATGATCTCTTGTTGGGGTTATCAAAGTGATATAAAGTTGAAACTTTGGGGTATACAAATGTTAAAAAAACGTACCAAAGTGATAAAAGATTCAAACTGAAATGAGATTATGAGAATAGAACTTTTATAATCTTATACCACTAGATGAGATCTATTTCACGTGAACTATATATAAACAACATTTTAGATGATTATGAAGTGTATCAGATGAGGCATCTATGAGATCAAAGTTATTAATTTTGTGAAAATTCCAAATCAAACCCCCGAGATTTTAATTCATAATTATCTTCTTCCGTAATTTTTAAGGGTTTTTGATGCATCCCTTGAATCTTTAATATTTTGAAAATTAATCCATATAAATCACAAAAATTGCTATCAAGTCCCCCCATTCTTAAGTTTTAATGTTAGTCCCTAAAACCATTTGATTTGTTCTTAGCTCCTCCAAATCTGATAAATTGTTTCAGATTATTCCCTCCAACCAATAGTAGAAGCAACAATTGGAAAGATAAATTTCTAACAAGTTTTAAGAATTGGGGGACCTAATAGCAATTCCAAGGGTTTGACGGACTTACAAAAATAACTTAAGAATTCAAGGACCTAACAGCAATTTCAATGATTTGAGGGGACTAATTTCAAAACATGAAAGACTTGAAGACTAATGTCAACAAGTTTCTTATTCAGAAGTGAGCAGCAATATGATTTATTAATGCCTTTACCAGCTCATATAAGTTCATACAAGCTTGTTGTCAAGTGCGTGTAAATTATTATAGTGTCGTTTTGTAATTGGAAAAATTATCACATAAACTGATAAGACAATCAATGTGCAACAAAAAAGCCAACTGATTTATTGTTTGATCTTCAACTATCAACATGTACTTGAAAGCCTGTAGCACTTCACGTTTAGCCAAAAACATGCTCATGAGAGTGCAGCGCTCGCATCATATTTCATACTCAACAATTAATTGATGCTAAAAGTTCCAGAAAAATTTCTTAAAACTTTACTTGCATATTTGAAAAAAATAAGATTTATCCATCCAAGCATAACAGGATAAAGTGAATGCTTTTAAATCCTTCGAGTGAACAAAAAACTTCTTCTGAAGCCTGCACAATTGGATTACCAGCTGATCAGCAACATAAACAGAGATGTGCAGAAAACTATACATATGTGATATCCCTTCAATAATGTAAGAATGTAGAAAACCATGAGAATCCACATGTATTTTTTCAAAGGTGACCTACAGACATAAAACCACTAAAACCAATAAAGCTCTTCATGAACATACATGTTATCATCTGAAAGCGAGCTTCCTTTCAAAGTATGAACACAAAATTTCTTGAACTTATGTAGGCTTTTTTGAATGAATTGCTTCAACTAGACTCTTTATAATGTAAGTAATAACAATGTACATACGAATTGCACACCAGAAATTGGATACACAAATCTGCGAGACCAAAAAGCAGCAGTACTGATAACAAGCTTCATACACAGGAAACTCAATATGAAATCAGACACGAAGATATGCGAGCCTTAGTGCGATATGAAAGACATTTGTTCATTGTGTGTAAGCTTGAAAAATTAGACACAAGTTCAGTACATAAAAAAATAATAATTATTCTTTAGTAACTTAAAGAAGGTTATCCCCCTGAAATGCAAAATAGTCTTTACCCCAATATGCATTCTCTACTGCCTTACAAAATCGAACTCTTGAAGTTGCTAAAAAGAAAATTACAATTTTTAGATTATTATATCAATCATCATGGTATTCATAATTCGTGGAATAAATGTTATCTTCCAAACTGAAATAATAAAGAAGATGAAATATATCATATTGCTCTCAAAAGTGCACAAACAAGGCAAACATAACAAGACCAATCTTGCAAGCAAAAGGTGTCCACATTAATAATAAACAACATAATCAGATATCTCAATTTGAAATCAGCAACAAACGGGTGGAGAAAGTTATCTCTGATGCCAAATCAAAACATTTGTTCGACTACATACGACAAGCTTAAGGAGGTAAATTGTAAAACACAAGTAATAATCCTATCCTAACTTCCAATAAGGGTACCTGTATGAAGCCCAAGGCAATTTGTGAAGTATCCTCCAGTATCATCGAGCTATCCACAGAAGAAAGAATTTGGACTCTACCAAGAAGCCGAGAGATATAATAAAGAAGCATACTCTAACATAAAACATCAAATTCCACGAACTCTAAATTACTCTTGTAAGCCTCAATCACCTCAGGGACTTGATCCATATACTTACCCACATACTTATTATAGAACTTGCACTCATTTATCGACAAGTCTCTATGGTTCACATGAGGATATCTCCTTATCAAACTCTTCGACGACAAAACACTAAGAACACAACACCTAGGGAGGACCCTTTTCTCCAAACTATAACCAAGAAACTTAGGATTTGCAGCGAGAAAACACGGCTCCCAATGAAGTTTCTTGACATAGAAATCTACCATTTTCCTGATTTTCTTCTCCGACAGAAGCAAGCAAAACGGTTGCTTGGTGAATGCTGAGATGATCTCTCCTTCTGACCATCCCAAACTCTTGTACACTGCTGACTTACTCTCCCATGTCAAGGGGGTGGTTGCTGACACCACGTAAACTGCTTGAACAAAGAGGCACGTTAACGGGTTGAACCCAAATTTCTTTATGGATTCAACAGTTGTAGCAAACTGCTTGGTTTCGTTCGTTAGAACCCTCGGGTAAAGGGTGATTAACTTGGCAATGTTGGTAGTAGGGACTCCGTATGATTGAAGGGTTCTGACATTGGGCAAGAAATTGGTCTCGAGATCGTTGCTAAACAAACGAGAAGATCGGCGGAAAGCAACAAGTAACTTCTTGTTGTCGCCAAGAATTGAGTTGATAAGCTCAAAATTGGGCTTGATTCTATTTTGTAAGTTTGACCTGAATATAATTGGGTCACAGCAAGCAAGGCTTGCAAATTCAGAGGAAGAGAAACCAGTATCTGTGAAAAAATCGATTTTTGGCTTTAGGGTATTCTCAACATTGGATAGGAGAAGGGCTGGGCTCTTGGTGATGAGTTTTGTGATCTGGGTATCTGTGAAACTGTGGGATTTGAGGAGATTTAGGACTGAATCAGCATTCTTAGTGGTTTTGAGCTGGATTTTTTTGGCAACAGAGAGGGCAGATTGAGGAGAGAGGCCACACGAGTTAGTGAGGTAAGAGATTGTCAATGAAGATTGATCATTTCTTGGTTTTGCTGGGACTTTTGAGATGAATCTGAGATGGGCTGTTGATGGGTTTGATCCTTGTTTATAATGAAACAAGAGTTTGTTGGAATTTCTAATCCTATGGAGAAAACTAAGCATAATTGTTGCAGTATGAATTTTTTTTCCAACTGAAGGTAAATTAGAGAAGCTTACAGAGCACTGATGTCGGTGAGACTGAGAATTGGAACAGTGATTGAAGGAGAAGCAACGTCCATTGGTCCTGGCTTAATTAGGGTTTTGGAAGAAAAAGTGGGGGGTTTCGAGCAGGGATTTTTCGAAATTGATCCCTTACATCTTTCATATTTTGATATTATTCCCCCTAAATCTTCATATTTTTTAATAGTCCCCAAGATTTACGGGACTGATCTTTAAAATTTGAAATTAGCCCCCTATAACTCTTCATATTTTTGAAATAGTCACCCAAATCCTTTAAATGTTTTGAAGTTACTCCCCCATATTTTTCAGCTAAGTGCTAAACTTGATTTCAAAAAACTTATGGTCTTGTTTGGCAAAAGGTTAAGGAGAAGGGATTAAGGAGAAGACTTAATAAAGATAGCACATTTGTTAATCTGAAGGGTTAAAACTTTTAATCCGTTCAGTTAGCTTATCTTAATCATTTTGGCCATTTTTTATGTTTAGGACTAAAGAGGGTAATTGATTAACATATTTTATTATATTTTACATCCTCATTATCTAATCATTTTAATGAATAATTCTACTAATAATAACATTTTAGCTTAGGTTGTACATAAATGAATAAAAGCATGAATAAATATTATTTAATGTAAAAACCCCCAAATTACCTCTCTCTATTTTTTAGAATTTTAGAAGCTCAAAGATCACAACCCATGAAGCCCATGAAGCAAAGAGAAAAGAAAATCAAAGATATGAAGCATGAAGCCTATTAAGCCCAAGAAACAAAGAGAAAAGAAAACCAAAGAAATGAAGCATGAAGCCCATGAAACAAAGAAGCCCAAAGAGAAAAGAAAATCAAAGAAATGAAGCAAAAGCTCAAAAATCACATTTGAGCTCATACGTAACATGAGTGTGGGTTTTTGATTTTTTTTATGAGTTATGGGGTTTTGGATTGTGGATAGGATATTGTATGGGTTTTTGGATTGTGGATAGGACTAGTGTGCGCCCCGTGCGAAGCACGACCTTTCCTTTTTTTTTATTGATATAGTAATCTCGTTTTTTAATTGCTACAGAGTTTTTAAATGCTATAGTACTATTTTGTAAAATGCTACATTATCTCACCTCTGCTACAACAAATAAATTATGAAGTGCTACAGTAATTTTTAATAACGCTGCATTTTCTCGCCTATGCTACAGTATATTTTTCTTTGAAAATGCTACAATAAATCACTGTGTTATTTACTGTAGCATAAATAATGATTCTTCGGTCCTCATATTATTATAGAGGAATAGATATGATATGGGTTTTTGGATTGTGGTATGGGTGTAGTATGGGTTAAAATATTACATTTTAATTATGAGGGTTGGATATTTTGGTGTATAAATAGAGGAGAGTATGAGAGGTTGAGGGTGTGAAAGTTTTGTATGAGGAGTTTATTTTGGTGTATAAATAGAGGAGAGTATGAGAGGTTGAGGGTGTGAAAGTTTTGTATGAGGAGTTTACTCTTGATTGAGAAACCCTCAAACAGAGTATGAGAGGTTGAGGGTGTGAAAGTTTTGTATGAGGAGTTTACTCTTGATTGAGAAACCCTCAAATTTGTAATTTATTTTATATTTAATATAATCTTGTTCACCGGAATTTAAATTCAAGGAGAGGAAAACCCCCTTGAAATTAAGTTTCTATTTTTTTCTTTATTTTTCACTTTCTTTTGAATTTCCTTTCGTAGCTTAGATTTATTTCTTGCTTTTAATTCATGTCTTGTAATTTCATTTATAGATTAGATTTTTCTTCTCTTGCACTATTCACCTTGAGGTTAGAACCCTCTTGGGTTTAGTTTTTATTTTTGTTTATTTTTTATTTTTTTAAATTCACCTTGAGGCTAGAACCTTTTAGGGAATTGCCTTTTCTTTTTTCTTTTTCTTCTTTCTTGTATGATTTTATTTATTTATTCTTCTCCCCTCTAAATTAAAGTTTTATTTTGGACATAATGCAACAAACAACAAACCTCCAAAACAAACAAACGTCTCCTTTTCATTTACTTGTTTCTAACCACTCCTAATTATCACACACAACATAAGAACCGAATCTAATTATTTCTTTCAAACACCTTACTCGTGGGATCGATAACCTTTTATATTATAACTTGATTGGTTGTGCACTTGCAATACTTGGTACATGTTTTTATTCCATCAAGTTTTTTTATATTATAACTTGATTGGTTGTGCACTTGTAACATTTGGTACATATTTTTATTCCATCAAGTTTTCAAAAAATTGATGGAACAAAAACATGTATCAAATGTTACAAGTGCACAACCAATCAAGTTATAGCATAAAAATTATTGATCCCACGAGGAAGGTGTTTGTAAGAAATAATTAGATCCAGTTCTTATGTTGTGTGTGACAATTAGGAGTGGTTAGAAACAAGTAAATGAAAAGGAGACGTTTGTTTGTTTTGGAGGTTTGTTGTTTGTTGCATTATGTCCAAAATAAAACTTTAATTTAGAGGGGAGAAGAATAAATAAATAAAATCATACAAGAAAGAAGGAAAATAAAAAAGAAAAGGTAATTCCTTAAAAGGTTCTAGCCTCAAGGTGAATTAAAAAAATAAAAAATAAACAAAAATAAAAACTAAACCCAAGAGGGTTCTAACCTCAAGGTGAATAGTGCAAGAGAAGAAAAATCTAATCTATGAATGAAATTACAAGACATGAATTAAAAGCAAGAAATAAATCTAAGCTACGAAAGGAAATACAAAAGAAAATAAAAAATAAAGAAAAAAAATAGAAACTTAATTTCAAGGGGTTTTTTCTCTCCTTGAATTTAAATTCCGGTGAACAAGATTGTATTAAATATAAAATGAATTACAAGTTTGAGGATTTCTCAATCAAGAGTAAACTCCTTATACAAAACTTTCACACCCTCAACCTCTCATACCCTCCTCTATTTATTTACCAAAATATCCAACCCTCATCATTAAAATACAATATTTCAACCCATACTACACCCATACCGCAATCCAAAAAACTCATACCATATCCTCTCCATAATCCAAAACCACATAACTCATTAAAAAAATCAAAAACCCACACTCATGTTAGGAATGAGCTCAAATGTGATTTTTGGGCTTTTACTTCATTTCTTTGATTTTCTTTTCTCTTTGGGCTTCTTTGCTTCATGGGCTTCATGCTTCATTTCTTTGATTTTCTTTTCTCTTTTCTTCATGGGCTTCATGCTTTATTTTTTTGATTTTTTTTTTCTCTTTGCTTCATGGGCTTCATGGGTTGTGATCTATGATCGAGCTACTAAAATTCTGAAAAATAGAGAGAGATATTTTGAGGGTTTTTACATTAAATAATATTTATTTATGCTTTTATTCATTTATGTATGACCAAAGCTAAAATGTTATCATTAGTAGAATTATTCATTAAAATGATTAGATAATGAGGATGTAAAATGTAATAAAATACGTTAATCGGATATGATCAGTTTTTCTTATTAATAGAAGGGTTATCTCATAAACCATCTGAACAAGAGGACTTGTAAATCCTTTGTTTTCAATGGTTAACTCATTTTAACCCTTTCAGAGAGATTTGGAAACCCTTAGGCGCCGTTTGGTAAAGGGTTAAGGAAGAGGGATTAAGAAGAATAATTAACATAGTTAACCTACTTGATAATCTAAAACACTAAATTATTAACTCATTATATAAGTTTTATTTTAGCTATTGTGATCATTTTTAATGTTTGAGAATAACAATGATTTTGACTATTTTCTATATAATTAGAAGGGTTAACTCTTAATCATTCTAAATAGGAGTATTAGTAAACCCCTTATTTTAAGGGGTTAACTCATTTTAATCCCTCTAGAATGATTAGCTTAACCCTTTTATATTTTTTGTGTTTGGTAAATTATGAAGGGTTAGATTAGTTTAACCATTGTATAGATTTTTTGTGTTTGACGGGTTAAAAATGTGTTAAGTTTCCTTAACCCCCCACTTAACCCTTTTGTCAAACAGTACCTTAGGCCCCATTTGGCAAAGGGTTAAGGAAGAGAGATTAAGGAGAAGGATTAACATAGTTAGCTCATCCGATAACCCGAAAAACTAAATTATTAAACCGTTAAATAAGTTTTACTTTAGCTATTGTGATCATTATTAGTGTTTGGGAATAGTGAGGATTTTCACTATTTTCTTTATAAATAGAGGGGCTAACTCTTAATCCTCCTTAATAGAAGTATCAGTAAACCCCTCATTTTGAGGGGTTAACTCATTTTAATCCCTCTAGAAGGGTTAACTTAACCCTTCTATATTTTTTACGTTTGGCAAACTATAGGGTACCGTTTGGCAAAGGGTTAAGTGAGGGGTTAAGGAGACTTAACCCATTCTTAACCTACCAAACACAACAAATCTATATAAAGGTTAAAGTGAGTTAACCCTCCATAATTTGCCAAACATAAAAAATATAGAAGGGTTAAGTTAACCCCTCTAGAGGGGTTAAAATGAGTTAACCCCTCAAAATGAGGGGTTTACTAATACTCCTATTTAGATGGAATAAGAGTTAACCCTTCTAATTATAAAGAAAATAGTCAAAATCATTGTTATTCCCAAACACTAAAACTGATCATAAGGGTTAAAATAAAACTTATTTAACGGGTTAATAATTTAGTCCTTCGGATTATCAAATGGGCTAAGTACATTAATCCTTCTCTTTAATCTCTCTTCATTAACCCTTTGCCAAACAGGGCCTAGAGGATTAACTCACTTTAACAATTGTATAGATTTTTTGTGTTTGGCAGGTTAAGAAGGGGTTAAGTTCCCTTAACCCTTTACTTAACTCGTTGCCAAATGTTCATGATTAGCAAATTATGAGGGTTTTACTTAATTTACACCATGTGCAATATTTTTTGTTTGCCAGGATAAGGAGGGGTTAACTCTTCTTAACTCCTCACTTGAGCCTTTGCCAAACGAAACATATAGAAGTTGGGGGGACTACTTTAAAGACATGGAGATTTAGGGAACTAATTTCATAACACTTGTATCGTTTGGCAAGGGGTTAATGAAGGAGAGTTAAAGAGAGGAGTTAGGTAACTTATTACGTGGGGTTAAAAATAATTAAATTCCATT